TCCTGGGTTGTTTTTTTTCACTTACCCTTTCATTCTAAAGCTGTATACGATTCTTATAATATCCTCTATGGTCACCAGTTCAGCAATTTATATCAAACAGACACGAATAGTGCAATTGGTTCCCATTCTCAGAAGCCAGCTCTCAGCAATCATTTGGTATTAATGGAGCCACAGTGCCAAATTCATCATTTCCCTTATGTACCCGAAGAGGGGGAGCCATTTCTAAGCCTGGGGCTACTGGCTACCCAGAAGAATAATTCTAGGAAGATTTATTTGAATAGTACCTTTTTTGCAATTTAGCGCTCTTGCCTTTTTGCATAGAATTTTCAAAAGTAATGCATTTTTTTTACCTAGCAGGGCAGGTCAAGCAATTAATGGTGCTACAGTCAAAGATGTATTTGCAGGTCAGCAGTTCTATCAAAGGCCTAAATTCTATCAAAGGCCAAAACTCTTCATAATACAAAGGGGACACCCTCCCAGCTACAAAATATAGCCCAGTTTTTCACATCTATTTTGGGACAACTATAGTAATCTGATAATGTACATCAGAGATTAACAAAACTAATTTCTGTGCATATTTAGGATTTATGGTTTTATGTCCACATTGCAGCTAAATCTCATTACTTATATTTGCTTTTGTAAAATTTAAATCACGTATACATTTACTTGTGAATTTCTGTACATCCCTATGGCTTAGAGCTAAAATACTCTTGTTCTTTCAGTTTTACCAGCTCATTTATAATTAGAATGAATATGTCCTATATAATAAAACATATGTATACATGTGCAAAGATGCGTACTGTCCTGTGGGATCTCTTTATTTTAATTCTGTAAGGATACCTGTTGGAAACGGATGGACTTGATTACAAAAATAGTGCTGACCTAACAAGTTCCCTGACCCCCTGGAGTTTTTTTGCTTTCCCAAATTGTTCACTAAGTACAGCACAAAAAAACTGAAAATCACAATACCAAACAATTTACAGGAAAATAATATATAGGGACTAGTAAATTACAAGCTTAGGGTTAGTATAAATAATGCAAAGGTTTTCAATAAAAGACCTTCATAAAATCACATTGTAATTTATGTCCCAACACACTCCAAAGATTAAGTATAATGCTGTTAATTGAGTTACCTTCCTGAATCAAATGGCATGCTGGAAGTGTGAAGTAAATCTAAGTGAAACGTGAGTCTTTACCTCCTCAGTTAAGCAACTGAATAAAATTTCAATAATTTAACTGTTAAACACCAACATGTGAACACTGCAATATAAATACCATTTTTAGTGAGAAGCCAAACACCTTCTTAAATATAAACCAAAATAATTCCCATAGAAATAATGGATGGCCTGTGGACATGGTGTTCAGAGGCACTGATTGAGAAAATCCAGTTCTAGGCAACCATTCCCTCTAACTTTGGCTTTGTTCTGTTTACAATAGGCCTCGTTGTGCAATAATCAACAACAGAATGGCACCCAACACTTTAACTGCTGTTTCCATGGAGTAAGCATCATGTATCAACATTCCACTTCGCATGGTTTCCTGCTTTCCTTTCCCAGGCAACATTCAGTTACAACTCTATGAATTTTGCCTCAATTAGGAGTGCAGGATAACATCTTCTTGCTTCTACATTCCTCAATAATGTAGGTTAACATAGAAAGAAACCATTGTAAACAGCCTGTTGGTTCTGTTTCCTGCTTTGGCTGGTGATTGAACCTTCCGTAAGAGGAGCATATGCAAAGTATTTGAGTGTTTAAAGGGGCAGAATTCTAGAAAGTGTCAACTGAGCCTTGTAACTAGGGGAGACAGCCTCCGCGTCCCGTGTATTAGCATTCCCATGTTTCAAAATGGCAGCGGGGGGGCTTGTTCAACACTGCTGCCATTTTGAAGCACAGGGATGCTAATATATGAGATGCTGCAGCGCTTTAATTAGAATGGCTCTTGGAGCCACACCCCTGGAGGACATATAAAAGTGCCCTAGAAGCCTAGAGATATTGATGCAATAGGAAGCTTCATGAAGCGGGCTTTTTCAGTGAAAATAGACACTATTTTATACTGGAACCAGAAAAGTAACAAAAACATGTCCACTACTATATACAATACCTTAGGATGATCTTTAGCATGTTAACAACTAACATGAAAATAGCACTATCATTATCTTACACTGGAAGCCTGCTTATGTAAATTCTCAATAATACACTTTTATTTAGTATTTTAGAAAACAGAATAATTTTATCTTGAAAAACAGCAAAGATTTTATTTTTATCTTTGTAGTTACATTTACCTTGTACTGAGACTTGCAGTTTTTGTTCCAGCTGGTGACTCCAGTCCTTCCCCTGGCTTTGAAGATTTCTCTCTGTTCATTTGTTGTAGTATTGAGTTCAATTCACTAATAACATTAGCCTTTGGGCCTGAGAGAATTGGGCTTTTTACCTCCGTTACATCACCCCATAGTTTGGAGGTCCTTTGTGGTACAACTTTAGCCATATTGGGTTGTGCACTGATTGGAGGTGGGGGTGGGGCAGGTGGAGGAATAACAAAGCTATCAACAGTTTCTTCAATTAGCGCATCTTTGTAAAGTGCATTGGTTTTGTTAATTATGGGCTTCATTTTTGGCTTAGGAGGTACTGGGGGTTTGTCCACCAGAAATGTTTGCCCATCTGCATAGACTGTACAAGTATCCAAGTTCTCGCCTCCTTCAGAGGATAAGGTAGAGATGCTGGACACTGTTGAGATAGTGCTGGTTGTCTCTAAATGATGGTCACTACTACTTCGACTGTCCACCTCCTCAATCCCAGAGTCAGTGATGTTATCAAAGCTTTCAGGGGGTGGCAGAAATGAGGCAGGCAAACAGTTTGAAAGACCCACTTGCTTTTTACTATCTAAGGAATTTGTTGATTGATTGGGGTTAAATGAAGCAGGTGAAGGTGTTCCATTCTGTCTTTGCTTATGTGAGTCCGTTAGAGCAGAACCTGGAGCTGAACGATCATCAGGAATATCAAAACTGTTAGCAAATTCTAAAGGAGGTGGTAATGGCTCAGTAAAAATAAACTCTTCATCAATATCAACAGATGCTAAGGGGGGTGGAGGGATACGAAAAGGCAGAATGACAGGGTCATCAACAGAACTAGCTGCTACAATAGTTTTGCATGGTGATGGAGGTGGCTCAGGTGTAGCAGATACACTTAAGCCACTTTCTGCTTCTTCACTGCCCTCTGGCACTTCAGGTGAAGAACTTTCTGGGTTCACTTCTGCTTCAATTCTCTTTTCTTCATCTTCAGGTGTGTCGTCAGACTTTGCTGTATCTACAGTGTGAACCATTAGCAAACCAGCTGACTTCTGCTGTGAAGTATCCACAATATTTATCAGCATGTTTTTCTTTTCTTCAGGTTTTTTCTCTTTCCCCATGTCCGTTTCATACTTGTTCTCTGTCTCTTGCCTTCTCAATGGGCCACGTGTGTTTTGTCTGGTAACAGTAGCAGTCACAGGAAATGTAGTTTCAATATTGGGTCTCAGTTTTGTATCAATATAAAGTGGCTTGTTAAGGTCTGCTTTACTTGCTTCTCCTTTGCCTGGAATCTGTTGAGTCTGTTCTTTCATGGCCCTGTCCCTGGCAGAGAGAGCAAGCGCTAAAGGCGAGTTTGGATCCAATAGCTTTCCTGTGAGTGGGTGAACATAATTATCTGAACTGGGCACACTGGTGGGCTTAGTTACCACCACATTGTTTTCAGTACCTTTTGGTTTGGATGAAGAATTTACTGTCCTTGCATCAGTCTGATTGCTTGGTTCACTGTTATTAAAAAGATTTTCAGACTCTCTAGGTGTGGGAATGGGAGAGGGTGACATAAGTTGCCTAAAGCTCTCTTCATTACTAAACATACCTTCCTCAGTAAATTTCGACTGCCGCAGACGGGGTGTTGGGGGCGTTAGCCCAACATCCTCATCTCCTAAATCAGTAGAAAGGAAAGCTGGAGAGTTACGTCTAGCTTCTAATCTCTTTTCCCTGTCCCTTACTGCTCCAGCAATGGCTGCTGCAAATGGACTGCTAACATTTAAGTTATCATCAGGTCTGAGCTGTCCAGGCTGCTCTGAAGACTGAGGGTCAATTTCCATGCTGCTTCCTTGGCTGCTTTTTCCACTACTGCTGGTAGACGGTTCTTTCACAATAATGGTTGGAATTGGAATAGAACAGGTTTTCTCTGGACTGTCCTCCACATTAGATTGTTTCACTAGCATTCCCTTTCTCCTTGCTGGTTTGGCTGGCACGTACACTGCTTTGCTTGCTATCTTCCCAACTTCAGAATATGGGTTTTCTGGCATCTGACCCCTCTTGCTCCTAAAATTAGCCTGAGTTGCGGCCTTCCTGCTGTATAAATCCTCAGAGTCTAGAGAATAACGATCTAATTCTCTTCTGTAATACATTCCTTTCTCCCGTATCATGGTTCCCATATTTTCAGGTCTACCTGAAGAAACTTTTGAACCTGAATTCTGATTAAATGCAGGTTTAATTGTTCCATAACTTCTTGATGTTGGAGATTTGGGTGAGTTGTACAAGGAGGGAGAAGGTGGTGGTGGTGAAGGGGGTAGAGACTGTGGGGGAGGAGGGATATCTTCAGAGGTGTCTGGCATTGATAGACTCCTGGTAAATTTCAGCATTGGAGGAGCCAAAAACTGCCGCTCTTCTTCAGTTATTCCTAAAATAAAATAATACAAAATAAAATACAGCAACAAGTTTGAATGTGGTCCTTTACTGAAATTCATCATTATATGTTATTTTCACTAAAGATGCCACAATAAGATCCTACAGCATATTTTGCAAGGCACAAAGCATATCAGAAATAATCAAAAAGGCTGGTTGGCTGTTTACCGCTCATTACAATTCTTTTCTCATTGAATTTCCACAAACCTACAAATAGAAAAAGATGCTACAGGAATAAAATTAAGCTTATTACTGAATTGTAGATGACTGCTTTTGTTTTACATGCCAGCAGGGCAAACATATTTCTTGTCTCAAAGATTTGGTGGTTTTGAAAAGTGGGCAAAAACTGCTCAGAGTAATATTAAAGATGTTGTATTTATGTGAGGTAGCTCCATAGAAGGGCAATTTGGCTAACTAACTTTATACTAGCACAGTTTATGTACACTTTATATAAAAAAAATCTTAAGTAAAGATGATCATTGCTAACAGGAAATGTGTCCAAAATAAGTGAAATCATCACTGAGCGAAAAAGGGCCCAAGATTTGCTCCATTTGACCAGCAAAGTGGTTACTGAAGAACGTATAGCATAATAGGATTTTCATATCAATCATAATGTCTGAATAATTCTTGGATGCAGTTAATTTACCACAATAGGTGTTTTTCAGGTTTTTTCATTCTTTTGTTGGCTCCCTTGTTAAAAACAACTTAACATAGGCAGGGATCAGATTATCATCCCATAGCAACTGCCCTAAAGTCATCAAAGCAAAAGCTGTACCACTTTTAATGTAAATTGATTTTGCTCTTGAACTTTAGATCAAAATTAATAATTTGCTTAAACTGAAGAAAATTGAATCAAAATACTGTACAAAACAACTGAAGTCAATAAATATGTTAAGCACAATTTGAATTAACATGCAAAATGGCATTTTACCTATGGATTTTTGTCTTCTCATTGTACCACGAGGTATACCTAGAAAAGGACCTTGCGGACTCCCAGGTACAGTAGGTGGCATCACAGCAATACCTTGTCTCTCATACATAGACTACAAGACAAAAACAATACAATTATGTGCCAATGGGCTATATTCAAGCTGGAGAGAAGGAGAGAGAGCCCTGACTAAGAAAAATAATTCTTCCATTGACCCCATTAAACCAGGGACGGGCAATTATTTTGGGCGGAGGGCCACTTACTGAGTTTTGGCAAACTGTCATTGGTAGCTCATGGGTAGCCCTGCCCCCTGGTCACCATCTTGTGACTGAAAGTCCCTCCCCCTGTCCCCTGACCTTTGCCACCCAAAGTCCCTCCCCTTGTCCCCAGAAGTACTCCTTTCAGCAAGGGGTTTTGCCATCTTGGAACCAGAAAAAGACCAAATTATATTCTAAAAAACAAACATCTAGAGCATTCATTAATTTGAATTCAAAAAATATTATTGTCCTGATTTGCATGCGTGTGTGTAGTATACACAGAGGTGATTGCACAATAGCTTAATTTTAAGTCTTACTTTTGTATATTGTTGGGGGCTTTGGGTGTGTGGGTGTAGGGTAGGGCTGTGTAAAACAGCTATGTTTTGATTTGGTTTTGGATTCGGTCATTTTGGAGGGACAATGATTCGCTTTGGTGTTTCGGATCACTATTCTGTTTCAATTCGGCCGAATCTGTTTCGGAGTTTTGATGATGTTTTGGTGATTCAGCCATAGGCTATAATGGGGAATCACCAAAATGCCTATAACTTTGTCATTTCTTGCCTGATTCTGATGAAAATTGCAGGGATGGTAGCCCCTTCTGCCAAGTTTCAAGGAGATAGGTGCAGGAATTTTTGGGAAACTGCACCACAAACAGTTCAAAGCAAAACTCATGACATGCGAGTGGGAAGGCAGAGTAGGGTGAAAACTGCAGGGATGGTAGCTCCTACTAGGGCCATGAAGTCTGCCAAGTTTCAAGGAGATAGGTGTAGGGGTTTTTGTGAAACTGCACCTCAAACTGATCAAAGCAAAACTAGTATCACTTGCCGGCAGCAGCAGCGTGCTGTCATCCTGCACACAGATCTGGAGGCCCGCACGGAATGACAGCAGGGATTGGGAGGGACCTCAGGGACAGATCGCAGACACTGGTCAGCTACAGATGTCACTATCAGAGCAGTCCTTCCCTGCCTTTTCCCTCCTCCCTCTTCTCACTTTCTGTTTCCCTGCAGGCCCAGCTCTGAAACTCAACAATTTTCCAAAATTTTTTGGATGGTTTAATTTCATTTTGGACATGTTGGTGGGGTGTGCATGTGGGACTCACCCTATGAACACACACACACACACCCTGCCCCTGCCTGCCTGCACGCACACACACCCCCACCCTGCCCCTGCCTGCCTGCACGCACACACACCCCCACCCTGCCCCTGCCTGCCTGCACGCACACACACCCCCACACAGCCCCTGCCTGCACACACACTGCCCCGCCTACACACACACACCCACACTGCCCCTGCCCACACACACACGCACACACACACTGCCCCTGCCTGCACACACACGCACACACACACACACTGCCCCTGCCTGCGCAAGCGCACACTGCCCCTGCCTGCACATATACGTACACACACGCATGCACACGCACATGGAATGGCAGTGCAAGGCGGGGGGTGGGTTCATGTGTATGGTGGGGTGTGCATGTGGGAATCAGCCTATGAACACACACACACTGCCCCTGCCTGCAAACACACACACACTGCCCCTGCCTGCATACACACCCACACAAATACACACACACACTGCCCCTGCCTGCACACACACACACACACTGCCCCTGCCTGCACGCGCGCACACACACACACGCACACACACACTGCCCCTGCCTGCATACACACCCACACAAATACACACACACACTGCCCCTGCCTGCACGCGCGCACACACACACACGCACACACACACTGCCCCTGCCTGCATACACACCCACACAAATACACACACACACTGCCCCTGCCTGCACGCGCGCACACACACACACGCACACACACACTGCCCCTGCCTGCATACACACCCACACAAATACACACACACACTGCCCCTGCCTGCACGCGCGCACACACACACACGCACACACACACTGCCCCTGCCTGCATACACACCCACACAAATACACACACACACTGCCCCTGCCTGCACGCGCGCACACACACACACGCACACACACACTGCCCCTGCCTGCATACACACCCACACAAATACACACACACACTGCCCCTGCCTGCACGCGCGCACACACACACACGCACACACACACTGCCCCTGCCTGCATACACACCCACACAAATACACACACACACTGCCCCTGCCTGCACGCGCGCACACACACACACGCACACACACACTGCCCCTGCCTGCATACACACCCACACAAATACACACACACACTGCCCCTGCCTGCACGCGCGCACACACACACACGCACACACACACTGCCCCTGCCTGCATACACACCCACACAAATACACACACACACTGCCCCTGCCTGCACGCGCGCACACACACACACGCACACACACACTGCCCCTGCCTGCATACACACCCACACAAATACACACACACACTGCCCCTGCCTGCACGCGCGCACACACACACACGCACACACACACTGCCCCTGCCTGCATACACACCCACACAAATACACACACACACTGCCCCTGCCTGCACGCGCGCACACACACACACGCACACACACACTGCCCCTGCCTGCATACACACCCACACAAATACACACACACACTGCCCCTGCCTGCACGCGCGCACACACACACACGCACACACACACTGCCCCTGCCTGCATACACACCCACACAAATACACACACACACTGCCCCTGCCTGCACGCGCGCACACACACACACGCACACACACACTGCCCCTGCCTGCATACACACCCACACAAATACACACACACACTGCCCCTGCCTGCACGCGCGCACACACACACACGCACACACACACTGCCCCTGCCTGCATACACACCCACACAAATACACACACACACTGCCCCTGCCTGCACGCGCGCACACACACACACGCACACACACACTGCCCCTGCCTGCATACACACCCACACAAATACACACACACACTGCCCCTGCCTGCACGCGCGCACACACACACACGCACACACACACTGCCCCTGCCTGCATACACACCCACACAAATACACACACACACTGCCCCTGCCTGCACGCGCGCACACACACACACGCACACACACACTGCCCCTGCCTGCATACACACCCACACAAATACACACACACACTGCCCCTGCCTGCACGCGCGCACACACACACACGCACACACACACTGCCCCTGCCTGCGCGTGCGCGCGCGCACACAGACACACACACACACACACACATAGACACTGCCCCTGTGCGCATACACACACACACTGTCCCTGTGTGTGCGCACACGCACACACACACACGCGCACGCACCCGCAGCATGGCCCCGTGATCCCCGGTGTGGTGATGCAGCTGGGAGCCAGGTGGTGCTGGAGCAGGGCAGGGGCGGAGCAGGGCAGGGGCACGAAGAGAATGAACTGGCTGGGGGCAGGGCAGAGCTGAGCTACTCAATTCTGCTGAGGGCTCCCCCTGGGTCCTACTGCCCCTGTCTCTTGTCAGCTTTGAGAGGCAGCCAGGAGCAAATAAATATTATTTTACTAATCTTTTTAGGGAGCCTGCAGGCCAGATAGAATGGCCTGCCTTAGCGGGCTGGAACTGGTCCACAGGCCATATTTTTCCTGCCCCTGTCTTAAACTATTTTGTTATTCATCTTAAATTGTCACTGGTCAAATTAAACACAATGTACTTGGTATACATAATCTTAGGAAACTGAAAATAGCTTTGCTTAAAATTATGGTATCTAAAACAAGAAAAATAACCAAAGTTCCTAGCACATTTTACAAGCAATTGTTTTTCTGCTTAATTCTTTCCCCAAACCACTGCCACATTCTGCACAGCTATTCAAATCATGTCAAACCAGAATCTGGTTTCAATGAACTGTTGAACTGCTGAGAGGATGGGACCCAGTAGGGCAGGAGGCTCGGGCCAGTGGGGGACATCAGGGAGTTAAGCAGAGAGCAAGCACATGAAGGGGAGGACCTGCTGGCCACTGCAGGTGTCCCCAGCTGACCGGGGGGTGAGGAGAAGCCAGGAGCCTCTGCAGCTAGGGGATGCAGGGATTAGCTGTGTAGGGAGCTGAGACTGGCTGAGGACAGCGGTGACAGTGCACAGGTTGCGCCTTTCAGCACCTACTCCCTGCCCACCTGCAACCTCCCCTGCACGTCCCCGCCACACCTGGGAACAGGCACTGGAAGGAGGACCCATCATGCTACCGCTGCTGTCCTGGCTAAGCCCAGCACCCCACAAAGCTGCTCCCTGCAACCCACACCTGGAGTGGGCCTCTCCCTGTGCCTGTAGCAGCCAAAAATAACGACAACAGTGTGGGGCAGGTCCCTCCTTCCAGCAGCGAGAAAGGAGGGGAGTGGCAGGAAGAGGAAACCAGCCTGCTGCCACTGATGTTTCATGCCAAGCCTGGCACCCTGCAGCTGGAGGGGAGCAGGAGTGGCTCTGGGGCTTCCTCTGTGCCTGGGTCACTTGGGGACAATGGCTGCAGTAGGTTGCATTGCTGCACCCCCTAGATCTGACCTTGTTAAAGTCTCAATCTACTGCTCTAACCCCTAGAAGAGGAGTGTTGAAAGAATAGCCCCGGGGCTTCCAGAGGAGCCAGGAATTTGTGGATAGGGCAAATGGAGGCACAATCTGCCATCAAAATCCAGGGCAGAGAGTCCTATTTGGGATGTGTTGGTAGCAGGGGTTGGGCAATGGCTGCATTAACCACTGCTTGCTTTGCTACAAGAAAACCCATGGTCCCAATCTGGCACCAGACTCCTTTGCCTGAGACCATCCCTCCTCTCTGTTTATTTCCTACCTCATAAAACAGTACTGATGTATTCCAGAAAGCTTTGACATTTCCCTATGATCAAGAAGTGCAAAGCCTCTGAATGAAGAGTGATGTTACTTTAGACAGGTAGGCAGTGGAAAACAAATGTAGCAGAAGATGAGGAAAAACATTTTCTCTTATTTATAAGTTTTATGGGGGAAACCAACTCAAATCTAAAGGACATTCCCCCTCTCCAGTCACTGCCTCTAGTTTTTAAAGATTTAAAATTTCAAATCTATTTAGCTTTTAGTGCCTGAATGCTGCTTCCTCCCTTACCTATTATCCCTTTATCTTGTTAAAACAAAATTAAATCAATATTTCTGGGAATAATTAAACCTCAGAGTGGGAGAGACCTTCAGACTGGTTTTATTGTCAACTATTACTAGGTTTCGTAGAGTGGAAAAGGAGAAAACTTCTTGTTGGTGAACAATTTTGCAACTATTCCTTTATTAGTACATAAAAATGCTGTTCTTTTTCAATGGTACCAGCTAGCAACATCATAACCAAAAGCATAAACCAAAAACAAATACTTGCTAGCCACCACTCACATTCATATCAGTAACGGAGGGAAAGCATCTACTGGAAGGCCGCTGTTTAATAGTTGCCACCCTTGAGTCCACAGTTGCATTGTCTGCAATTCTTGATGGCTTGGAAACTGGTACTATTTCATCCACTTTATCTGTAACATAAAAGTGTTCACTAAAATAAATATAATTTGTCCCAATACTGAAAATTTAAGTATCGCAAGGTCAAAGGAAGAGATTTACTTTTCAAAAAAAAAAAAAAAAAAAATGCAAAGAAAAAGGGTTTTTTTTTGGCATTTTAACAAGGCAATGCTTGAGCATCATAAGTCGTGCAAGCCGAGCACTTTATATTGCTGCTACATAGCATGCATGCTTTAATTTTAAGCCTGCATGCATTTAATGTTTACTTAGTGTGACTCGAAAAACAATCCTCTTCTTCAAACCTTCAATATGTGAAGGGAGAATATCTATATAGAAACGGAAAGAAGACCTTTAGAAATAATGAACCCGTAGAGCACTGTTTCACATAGTGATAAGCAGACAGTACTAAGCCACCAGAATTTCAGTGTTATTTTAACAATAACAAATACTTCAAGAGTGCTCTTTCTACTTATTCTTCTCCAGTAATTACTTTCTAATCTATTTATGATCTCAGACTATTAGATAAAGGCATTTAGCATTATTGAAAACTGGACCACGTCTTTATAAAATTAAACTGTTAAATATGATTTTTAAATGTTTACCATCTGGGGCAAAAGTTATATTGAGCTGTGGCCAGAAACTGGCAAGATAGATTAAAAACTCAAATCTGAACTGAAGCTTGGTTGTTGGGAATTAGGTTTCTGGTCTACCCTCTATAGTTTTGACAGGTTTCTGGTGGTGATGCTTCCATCAAGATCCCTCAAAGTTCATGAGATTTTGGATCCCAAGGTTTGATTCAGACCATCTCCAATTGTGACCACAAACAAAATGAGCAGTCATTAAATGCTGTTATAGTTTAAAAAGTTACTGAACATTTAACACTTTTATACTACATTCACTCTAATTTTTTCAAAGCACTACACAATCAACTAATTAAAATCTTCAACTCTCTTATCACTACTCCACTTTTTACAGATTGGAACACTCAGGCACGGTAATTCAGTGACCTGCCCAAGGCTACAGAGTAATTCAGTCTCTGAACTAGAACTAGAAGCTAAACTAGTAGCTAAGAGTTTTTCTCATCCCATCTTAATTGCATTATTTGTCCCTATGAAAGCATAGACTGCAATGGCACCACATGTACTATCCTAAATTTTGCAGTCATGTTAAGCTAGGCTGGGTTTTAGTTTTAATTCCTCTAAAACAACAGGATGCCAGTCACCCAGGCTATGTGCATTTATGAAAGTAATGTACAATTTGATGCAGTTCCTTAGCCTACTAACTCCTCTAATGCTACGCTTTCACAAACTCAAGTCTTACAAAAATTAATAAGTAAAGGCTTACTTTTCAGGAATTAAGTATAGGATGCCTGTTTCTCAAATATCTGATCATTTGTTTTATGGAGAAAGGAAAGTCTGGTCATTAGGTTATCACTGACTTAAGAACTGCTGTCCAGTGGTCTAGAAGTTTCACCACCATGCAAAGTATTGGATGTGGGTATTTGAGCTTGATCCCTCACTGAAAAACAGCGCACACTGGGCCTGGGAAGTGTGGATATGGATGGAAAGTGGGTAGAAGGAAAATAATTTTGGCTTTTTCTAAGCAGTAGCTCTATGTTTCCTGTATTGCAGGAATAGCATTTTAAAACAGGGGGAGCAGGGGGAACTATATTCAATCTTCTCTGTTTGAGAAAATTGTTGCACTGAGAGTAAAGATTCTTGGATCCCTGGATGACAGGCAGAGGGGTCATCAAAAGAAAGGTTTATTTGATCAGTAAGTTAGTTCATTAGGAAAAGTGTTACTGTCCGATTTCAACTAGAGTTAGTGTTAATTTTTGTTTGTCTGGTTTATTTGTGTATATGATGGATCTTCCCAGGGGAAGAGAGGAAAAAAAAAGTCACATCCCGAAAACCTTTACAAATATACAGAAATAGGAAAAAAAAATTGTTTTTAAAAGCATTTCATAACATTTTAGCAGTAATACAAATGCTGCACTTTTCAGAAATATATAATTGCCACCTTCTGATGGATAAAAGGCATCAGAAAGTCAAGGATTTATCCTTGAACATTAGAGCTATATCAAAGATATGGCTAGACTGCAAATTCAAACTCAGGGGTGTCTGAAAAAAATCAAGGCTGCAAAGACTTTGTATTACATCTCTTTAGCCCTTACGATCACCCCAGAAGACCAAACGTATTGGTCTGTGGGTTCCAGAGAATAGGGTGTTTGGGGAATTGAACCACTAGTCACTCAGAATCTATAAGTAAGAAATATAAATATGCCATATAAAATCTCATCCCCTTTATTTTGAACAGACACATATAACCATACACCTCTTCAGACAACAACAAAAAACTACAGGGAAAGAATGATGAGGCTATGACAGACACTTGAAAAGCATGAAAGTATTTGTTCAGGGAATGAAACATACATACCCTCCAACTGTACTGATTTTTTTTTTTTTTTTAAGACAGTACTAAAAATCAGATTCCAGTACTGAATCTGACCAAAATATCAGTTGGTACAGATTTTTCTTTTTTAAACAAAGTCTTATAATACTACCACATCAACTTGTTGGAAACTTTCTTTGCGATTTTATAGCTTCTTTAATGTTGTCAGGTCCTCAGTCTTTCTCGCCCTATAGCTGCTCTCATTCAAACAATGCTTTGTTCCTTTACAAGTCTAGCTGAGAACTGCTGAAGCAGGTTGGAGATGGGAGTGGGAAAATGAATACTTCGTGATTAAGCTGTTTTGCAAGAAACCTTTTAGGGGTTACTTCTATCTATCAGATAGTAGTTCTAATAGCTGAACTGCTAATGCTGCCCAGTTTGTTCTTTTGCACTCCTGCCTTAGATTTGAGAACAAAGGGAGAAAACTAGGATGGTGTCTTAAAATAACAAATTCTTTGAAACTTCTAAAGCACCTCGTCTGTGTGTGTGTGTGGCGGGGGTGAGGTGGGGAGGAGTAAGATTAATCCCAAATGGCAACAGCTACATGGCGGGTCCTCTAGAATACACACAAAAAAAATCTTAATATAAGGCCCAGATCCACCATACTTTTAAACTGACAGCACTATGTGAATTAATACATTTTCTTTATACTACTATGTACATGCTAGCTAGGTGAAGAAAGGTAACTGGCCTTTGGTAGGAATGTAGTGCCACTTCAAACTCATCCAAAAGAAATAAACAGTAGATAATGTAGGGATACATTTTCACTTGCCTATACCCTTAAACTAGTTGTTCATACCTACAGTAGCAACACGCAAAGCATATCTGCATGAGAAAAATATTTTCAGAAGATGGACACACTAGAACCTCCCTTGTGTCAGGCCTGCTAATGAACTTCTCCCCTCAACATTTTCATGGTCTTACATATTTTTTCAATATTTATTTTTGCACCAGTGAGAAGGGGACTTACATGTTTGTACCAAAAATCAATTTATAAGGATACCTATATACACAATTTTAACAAGAGCAAACTCAAAAAGTCATACATTGGGAACAAACAGAATATAAGTGGAAACATTTACACCTGGCAAGAGGTGTGTGTTGGTGGCATGGCCAAAGAAATGCACTCAAAATTGAACATTAAAAGGAGTGCATTTAGATGCAGTTAGTTATGGGGAAAATATTTTAAACTAGAAGATGTACCTGCTAACTGCCTACACCAGAGGTCAGCCCACACTAGCTGTGTTTCATCATTAAACCAGTCATTTAGCAAAATGTCGCCACAAGCAGACACGCACACTTAAAAGAGCAGTTTGTGGCTGGTTTGCACACTGGCGAAGTGCTTCTTGCTTACATTTTGACCAACTTCAGTCACCGGGAGTGAGAAAGGGAAGAGAAGGCCTTTGGCTCCCTGGACAGAGCACAGCCTGAATGTATCTGCAGAAGAGGACTTTTAGGGCTAAGATTGACTTTCAGTATTTGTCAGAGGAGAAATTCAATACAGGTTTGCCATACAAACTCTTCCAAACCATTTCATGTAAAGTTACAAAAGGATGTAGGGAATCAAACACAGGAGCCATGCTACACCTGTGATAATTACAGTCACCACTGGTCACGGGGCTTTTGGTAATAGGATCCTTTCTGAGAACCATCAGGGATATCACATGTATAAGCCAGTCTGATGCCTCTGCATGCATATAGCAATTTGAGTGCCACTATATTAAATTCCCCCGAGAGAGGCAGCACCAACAGTCATAAAAGAATTTTATCGCAAAGTGTATTTTCCATGTGCCCTGCAGGCTACCAATTGAAAACCAACATAATGCTCAGGGCACCTGCCCCTCAGGAAATTAGATGGTCAAAAGGAACAGGAAAGAGTTCTGATTTTATCAATGTGAAGGTCATCTCTGATGCAAAGCTCTTTATCACAGACATAGTAGCACAGTGCCCAACAGCATGTCATAACGCTTACATTCTCAGGTGGTTTGGCTGCTAGGTCAACACTGGGATTTTTAAAAAAAATAATTAGTATCTGTGATATTATTGGGGACATTCTTCCCCTGCATAATATATTTCTTGCTGAAGATGGTCCTTTATTCCATAAAGATATTGGCTAAGATTCCTGATCCAAATCTCCAGACTCTCTCAGAGGAAAAATTATAATGCTGCCCACCAAGCCACCAGATCCATCATAAAAAGAAACTTTGAAAATGAGAGTCAGGCGCCTAGATAGATCTGGTGGGACATTACTGTACAGGCCCCCAAAGTTATGATATAATCCTGGCAACATTGCTTATTAACATAGCCAAGACACGTGGATTAGCTCCACCTGAGGGTCTAGAGATCGATTTCATCAGACCCACAGAGGATAAGAATGATCATGATCCATTACAGGCTAACCCCAACACCTCAGGCCGGCATGCCAGAAACACCAGGCAAAGACTGATAGAACACAATTTCTGAGGCGAATATTGCCAAGACCTGCATACTTACCACCAAGTCCAGAATGCTTGCTCAGAGGGAATAGGGATAATGGAGAAAGAAAACTCAAAAAACAGCTGCC